ATTTTTATAGAAATTAAGAATGTTAAAAGAAATTTATAAATATATTTAAAGGTATGTTTTAAGCAAGAACCATGTCTCAATGTTAAATTGTTATGAAAAAGAATAAGGATCAATATGATTAACTGAAATTAAGCAATGTATAGATGGATGGAAACAACAAAGAAAGGATTAAGTAGGGATTAATATTAAACCAACTATGATTATGCTGCGTTTAACAGCCAAAAAATAAAAATAGATATGCTGTGTAACAGCCAGAAAATAAAAATGATTATGCTGTGTTTAACAACCAAACAAAAATGGTGATGCTGTGTAACAGCCAAAACATAAAAGGATATGCTGTGTAACGGCTAAAAACAAAATGAGTATGCTGTGTCTTAACAGCCAAACAAAAATGGTTATGCTGTGTAACAGCCAAAATAAAAATGGATATGCTGTGTAACGGCCAAAAAACAAAAATGAGTATGCTGTGTTTAACAGCCAAAAATAAAATTGTTATGCTGTGTTTAACAGCCAAGAAATAAAAAAGATTGGTTTAACAACAAAGATAAAGATAAAGATGTTGGGTTTTATAGTAAAAATAAAATGAGGTGGGTTAGCCAAATAAGGAGGAGTATATTTAAAAACAGAAACAAAGACTATAAATGTTGAGTTCAACAGTAAAAATAAAATGATTATGTTGGATTTAATTATTTTATGAATATGTATAATATTGTGATGATTTATATTGTTAAAATATATCCATCTAAGCAAATGAAAGAGAAAAATGGAATTATAATTGGTTAGGATTCAAGATTTAAGTAAAGGGTTTTTAGGGATAATGGCATAGTTAAATAGACAGATTAGAGGGAAATAATTGAGTAAAGTATTAAGTTGTGTTAATTGAAAATTAAGATTTGTTAGTTATTTGTATTAATTTGTGACCAGATCAAAAGCTTTGTTTTGAAAAAATATGTTTTATGTTTATGTTTTAAAAAATAATAAAAAACTTTTTTTAAAAAAAATGGAATTCCACCATTGGTTTAAACTGATGTTTTGTTTTCTAATAAAGTCACACACTTTTACATGAGAACTGTAACAAATTAAAAGAACCATAATAACCTATTAGAGACCATTTGATGTTGTGGTAAAGGTGCTGATCTAGGAAGCAAAAGACTGAGTTCTAATCTCATTTTAGCATGAAAATGACACACACACGCACCATAAATCAAGGACATCATTTTTAAAGGTGTCTTTAGTCCTATAATAAAGAACAAATGAGAATTTTAATATATATTCTGTTTTATATATAAATCATATATGTATCTTGAGGTTCTAAATTTTCCCATCTATGGATTCTGAAGCACCCTCATCTTCCCATTCTTTCTTTATTCCACCATGCCAATAGGCTAAATTGATAGACGGAAACTTTATGAGACAGGTAGACAAAATACAGCTAAGCAGCATAGATCTGGTACAACTATTGAGTTACATCATAAAAATTATATAGCTTGAACAATCACTGTATAGGTATTAGTTTTTTTAATCAATTCTTATACTTTGTTTTCAATGTGCAGGAAGAGTTCTAGTTGGTTCTCAATGTATTGTTTCTTTTTTTAAAATACATTTGTTATTTTATTCAGAAAGTTTAAATACAAATTCCCAAAAAAATGTCCAAGCACAAAAAAGCAAAGTAGCCAAAACATTAAAAATATGCATTTAAAACAATATTAGTTACTCCTCCTTCCAAAGCAGGCCCATAGTTTATTGACTTCTACATCTATTTATAACCAATTTGGCCTGTCATTTATCTACCATATGTAAAAACAAAGTAATTAAAAGGTAAATCAAAAATGATTTAACAGGCTCCAAACCTTAATCAGATTCTGAGATCTATTAATACAACCATGTCTTTAGAGCAGGGTTTCCCAAACTGTGAGGTGTGGCAGAACAGACAGAATCCGGGGGCGGGTTAAAGAACTCTTTAGTAACATGGTTACAATACATGCATGTTTTTCTAGATTTTGTCCTATTGTTTATATTGTTCATGTGTGTGCATTTGGGTGTTTGAATTTTTAGAGGAGATGTCTACATTAAGATTACACTAAAGGGAGAGGTGATGGGAAAACTTTAAGGAACCTCTGCATTAGAGCCTTTCAAAAGGCAAATAGGGTTGAGCTAATCTAATTTCTGAGGATGTTAGGGAATGATAGTCCAATGGGTACAAGTGACAGAAAACCTTCCATAGGATAGCTAGCTGTAACCAGGGAGATATAGCCCCTCAAATAATTCATGTCATAAAGAGGTTTATAGATCAGGGACAGGGGTGAAATTCAGCAGGTTCTGGAGAACCGGTAGCAGAAATTTTGAGTAGTTTGGAGAACCAGCAAACACCACCTCTGGCTGGCCCCAGAGTGGGGTGTGAATGGAGATTTTGCAGTATCCTTCCCCTGGAGTGGGGTGTGAATGGAGATTTTGCAGTATCTTTCCCCTGCCATGCCCACTAAGCCATGCCCACCAAGCCATACCACGCCCACCAAGCCACGCCCACAGAACTGGTAGTAAAAACAATTGAATTTCACCACTGATCAGGACTGTCAAACTCAAGGCCCACAACATGAGGAACTGTATTAAAGGGTCACGGCATTAGGAAGGTTGAGAACCACTGATTTAGCGTATGGGATTAATGGTAATGTTAATCAAATTAACATTTGATGCTAATCGAATTAACATCACAAATTAATGTGATTTTATTGTTTATACAAGTAGTTTATACAAATTTAGACCAGTCATTTAGCAGCTGTTTGAAATTACAATGGCTCTGAGCAAATGCAACTTAAGCTAGGTTCCTGAAGTTATAGCCACTGCAACACCTCCATGGTCACAAGCAAATTTTGGTGCTTGGCAACATGTTTTATTGTTGTTGTTGTTGTTCTGGTTTTAATACCTAAAGCAGTGATCAGCAAACTATGGCTTCAGGGACAAATCTCAGCTTCTGTTTGTTTCTATTTGACCAGAAGCAGACAGTAGGTGGGCAGCAGTTGCCATTATCACTCCATTCTGATATGTCTTTCTCTTTCTCCCACATAATTAATTAATCATTAAATATTAAGTAGCTGTGGGAGTTTTAAAGTTTCCTCATTATGCCCTATGATTGGACCTGTGATGAAATCAAATTCTGAATTAGTTTAAAATTTGAGTAACATCTGAATAGAACCTTACATATGAATTTTGAATTAAATCTTGTATGATTTGCATATCTCTATGATATTAAAAATAACAACAACTGAGTACCACTGAATATACTTTTTAAAACAAAAGAAGTTCAAGCAATTCTTTTCTAATTTTAAGTAGCATGACTGTATTAAATGAAGCAAATGCCTCAAAATGATTGGTCATCATTAAAGAGATTTTTTTTTAAATTAAAAAAACATAACCACAAGCATTACAACGAAATCATTTTAAAACAGAACATTTTTTAAATCCACATAATCTTTGGGATGATGCATTCAATTTCCCTACCAATGCAGCCACTTTGCAGGGGCCATATACACATTCCCAAATCCCAGGCTAAATGAAAAAAACATGTCTTCAGGACCTTCTGGTAGGCCACAAAATTGGAGCCAATCTGACTCTAGGCTGATTGAGAGTTGTGCAACTACCAGGAGCCATCTCCACAAACCTATGCCCAAAAGGGGTTAATAGATAAGCCTAAATTGGAAAGAGCTGCAGCCAGACCAATGCAAATAAATACCTCCCAAATCTGAATCGCATGTTGTGTAGAAGAGCACATCCCTATGCTGATTGGTTCTGACTTCCTGCTGAGAAACAGGGGAAGGTAAGGCACATTCAAATGGAGAAAGTTAAAATTTGCAGATGTATAAAAAGGACACTGATGAAGAGTGAGTCAAACTATTCTCCAAAGCACCTGAGGGTAGAACAAGACGCAACAGGTGGAAACTAATCAAGGAGAGAAGCAATTTAGAACTAAGGAGAAATTTCTTGACGGTTAGAACAATTAATCAGTGGAACAATTTGCCTGCAGAAGTTGTAAATGCTCCAACATGGGAAGTTTTTAAGAAGATGTTGGATAATCATTTGTCTGAAGTGGTGTAGGGTTTCCTGCCTAAGCAGGGGGTTGGACTAGAAGGTCTCCAAGGTCCCTTCCAACTCTGGTATTCTATTCTATCCAACCATTCTTGAATGACAGACACTGCATATGTTTTCTCATGTGCAGTGCTGGAGAAGCCTGCTCCAGCCTTCAGGGAGAATGAAATTCCAAAGGATAGATGTCACAACAGAAAATAATCACCCCATCCATTGTGGAATATCGAAAACTGATATTCCCAGAAAATGCCTTTCTGCATTAGATTAGATTACATCAGGGTCAGCAACCTGCAGCTCTGGAGCCACATATGGCTCTTTCATCCCTCTGCTGCGGCTCCCTGTCACTCAAAATATGTGTCACAACCGCCAATGTGTGACACCTTCCAGCATGTGATTTATTGAGGTTGTCAACCCCCAGTAAGCCAACCATGGATAAATCCAAGAAAAGAAAAGTTTCAGAAGGCAACAGAATGTTTAATTCAACTACGTATGCTAGTTTTGTGGCCTCTCAAGAAATAGTCAGGCATAGGAAGGGTTTTGTGGCTCCCGGGTTTTTCTTTTCTGTGGGAAACAGGTCCAAATGGCTCTTTGAGTGTTTAAGGTTGCAGACGCCTGGATTAGATCATAGGGCCAAATGGTATCATGGCCCAGGACTCAGACTCAGGTGAATCTGTTCATGCTGATCCAAGTAGAATGTCAGCCTCAGCAGAATAACAAATCAGGAGTCATCTGAGGTTGATTAAACACAGGCACCATAAGAACACAGGCAGACTTAGTTCTCATTTCTTAAGCTGCTTGTTCTTTACTTAAAGATGAATGTTAGTTGGCATTGGCTAAAAGAATAGTTAATTCTAGGTATTTGAATTCAGTTTGTTCTCACTCCACCCTCTGAGGGAGGAGAGTGTAACATTTGTTCATTTAAAACCATATCTCATCAGAGTAAAATTGATCTTCCAAGCAAGCTGTTTGAAAGAGGTAATGATTGTGTATGCGGGTGAAATTCATCACCTTTCGTTCAATACCGGGAGGGGTGCATGGGTCCCTTCTATTTTTAATCAATAATGTTCAGATTGTTTATAAATGTACAACTTTTCTTTTAATGTTTTGATACTGACCTCAGTGTAATATTTTCATTGCAGAAAAGTTGGATAGTGAGGGGCTGTTAATGTTTAAAACTATTTCATTCTGACGGAAATTCAGCTGAATCGCCTATTTTCATCACCTCTTCTAAGTGACTAAATGGCGTCAGATGAAGAATCTTAGAATCGTTTTGCACAAAGCTGAATATTATTCCAAGACTTTGTGGTCATTCTGAGGTTGCTTCTCAAACATCTGTAGAATCTGAAATATTGCTGCTATATCGTTCCATCAATGAACAAAGCCAAGAAGAGAGGCTAATAGTGATACCAGTTATCAGAGTTCGCATGGAACAGTGTTATGCTATTGCTTCTATCTCTCTTGTTCTGCTAATTCTTTGAGCAGGTTAGGTTACAGAAAACAAAGACAGGAAATATTTATTTATTATTATTATTATTATTATTATTTGGAAAATTTATATTTATTATTCTGAATAATGAATTTATTATTCATTCTGTCAGTAAATCAGAGAGTTTCCTTATTAATAAATTGCGAAAGAGTGATAGATTGCGAGACAATATATTTCTTTATCTTGTTCTGCATTACTGTATAATGGTATAAGGAAATCCTTAAATGAAGCATGCGTGAAGCATTTCTTGCTGAACAGTTAAGGGAGTGATGCCTTTTTCCACACTTATACGGCTGCTTTAGCATCTGTCCTGGCTGATTCCAGACATATTACTTTTTTCCCTCAAACTCCAATACTCAGAAGCTATAGAACGTTTAGATGTATAACCAGTTTCTTTTTTAAAAAGCTGTATTAAGTGGGAGTGAAACACTTGTTAAGTTAGAGTAGCACAATGTTTTTATACGCTCTGGGAGACTGATTTGTTGTGCAACATCCCTGATATTTTAGCTGCAGGAGAACTACAAGAGGAGTATTTTGGAATTTATGGTGATGAAAGTCTTGAAGCTTACTTGCCAACTGAAGATTAATGCCCTAGATGCAAACCTGTTTTACTATTTGTTTTCTATTAATTGAAGCTAACTTGCCAAATGGCAAATTAGTGTCCTCAAACAAAACTACCATCCCAGCTCTCATCCCATTCTACCTTGGAGATGCCTATCATAATGAAACAAGTTCTAGCAGAAAGGAACAGAAGGCGGATTTCTTGCAAGCAGTCTACAATTGATCCCTTTGTAATAAAAATAAAGGAGAGGGGTAGAAGCTCAGTGAGAGAATGGACATTAGCCAGGAAGAAAAAGTTTTCATGACAGATTTTTAACAGATTTCCAGATTTGTCTTGTGTGCAAAAAAAACCACAAGTTTTTTTTTCAAAAATCAAGAACTCCCTTCTGAATAGACACCTTTAGCTGGCCATTCAAACCTTTTCTTTCTTGGTTGGTTTAAAAAAAACAAAACAAGTTTAGCCTGAGCCTCTAACTATACCAGTAATATTTCATTAAAAGTATCAATGGTTTGATTGATTGTGTGAAGATTTGATTTGTTTTACTATCTCACAGCCCAGTAAGGCCTTCTCCATAAGGCTATTTGAAAGTGTCATTACAAGGTATTCAGTGCCATTCTGATATTCTGCTGTTCTTCGAAAGCTCAATATTGCAAATAGTAATTATATCAAAGCATGTTTATACTTTTTTTTTTATTTTCCAGGAAGAAAGCACTTTTTTTTTCTTAATTTTTTTATTGAGTTTTAAACAGAGATATAAAGACAATACAAAAAATACAAAGACATTACAAAGACAAACGAGTTCCCACCACCAACCTACCCAACACTATACTTTACATATATGTTTTGATCATCATCAGAATATATATTGCTTTATAAGTTAATATATACGTAATACATTGTCAATTCAGATGTTTTAGATTAGAAATAATCTTGCATCTCCTCTTTATTTAGTTGTTTCCGGTTTTATTTTTTCTACCCTATATTCTTTCATCTATATTTGTACTGATTTTCTTTTCCAGCCATTGATACCACTGGTGCCACACAAGATAGAATTCACTTTCTTCTTTATCTTGGAGTTCTAGTGTCAGTCTATCCATTTCGGCACATTCTGTTATCTTTGAGATTAGTTTGTCTTTGGTTGGGAGTTGATCTGATTTCCAATTTTGCGCAAACAGTAACCGTGCTGCTGTCAAGATGTGTATGATGAGGTATTTTGTCTCTTTGTTGTGTTGTGTTGTTATCATTCCAAATAAAAAAAATTCTGGAGTGTTTTCTACTTGTTGGTTTATTATTTCTTCAATGATTTCCTTTGTGTCCTTCCAGTATTGTTGGGCCTTTGTACATTTCCACCAGGCATGGTAGTATGTCTCTTTTTTGTTTTGCACTTCCAACAGCGTGGGGAGGTGTTTGGATATATTTTGGCTAGTCTGGCTGCTGTTAGGTGCCATCTGTAAAACATTTTTATGAGGGTTTCTTTGTAGGGTATGGCTCTTGTCATTTTGATGTTCTGTTTCCACAATTTCTCCCAGTTTGCCAGTTGGATGTTGTGCCCTATGTCCCTGGCCCATCTTATCATATTTTCTTTTACTGTTTCTTCCAGTAATTTATATCTAAGTAAGTAGTTATATAATTTGGTTATCATTTTTTGTTCTGGGCCTTGTAAAATCTTATCCAATTCGTTCAAATTATTCGAGATTCCATATTGCTTTTTGTCTGCTATGTGTCTTGAGTGTATTTGAGTATAGGGCCACCAATCGATATTTATGCCGGAGTTTTGGAGTTGCTGTCTTGAAATGAGTTCGCCTTCATGATTCAGTAAGTCTTGGTACCTCATCATTTTTCCTATTTCGAGAGTGTTCGGGTATATCAATGCTTCCATCGGGGACCACCATTTTGGTATTTTGGTATAGTGAGTTCTCTTAATATCCTGCCAGATCTTGAATAATGAAGCTCGAATTATATGACATTGGAAGTACATGTGTCTCTTATCCGATCCATCCCATAAGAAAGCGTGCCATCCTCTTATTAAGTCAAAGCCTTCTAAATATAAAGTTCTTTTGTTGTCGAGTTCCATCCATTCTTTAATCCAGGTCAATCCTGATGCCTTATAGTAGAGTTCCCAATCTGGTGTTGCTAGGCTTCCTTTGTCCCGTGAATCCTGTAGGGCTTTGATTTTGATTCTGGCCTTCTTTCCCTGCCATATGTAGTTCATTGTTGTTTTGTTGAGGTTCTTAAAGAAATCTCTTCCGGGGTGTATTGGTATCACTTGATATAAATATAGTACTCTTGGTAATATATTCATTTTTATTGAGGCAATTCTGCCCATCACTGAGAGTTGTAATCTACTCCAAATTTCTAAGTCTTTTTTGATTTGTTTTAACAATTTGGTATAATTATCTTCTTTAATTGTAGTTGCTTTTGCTGTCAACCAAATACCTAGGTATTTTATTTTCTTTACTATTTGAAGTCCTAATTCTTGTTCTAATTTCAACTGTTGTGTTTGGGTCATATTCTTCGTCAATACTTTCGTCTTCTGCTTATTTATTTTGAGGCCCGCAACTTCCCCGTATTCCTCTATCATTGTCATCAACCTGGTTCCAGATCGTATTGGGTTTTCCAATATGAAGATCACATCGTCTGCAAAGGCAAGTAATTTATACTCCTCTCCCCGAATCTTAAGGCCTTCCACGTCTTCTTCCTTCCTGATTTCCGTTAGTAAAACTTCCAGTGCCATTATAAATAATAGAGGTGACATGGAGCAACCTTGTCGTACGCCTTTCTGGATGTCAAAAGTTTGTGTCATGTCACCATTTATTGCAATTTTGGCTGTTTGACAGGAATAAATCTTTCTTATCAATTTAATTGATAATTCTCTCCGCAATTCATTAATTCAAGTTGTGATGTAAGAAAGGACCAATTTAAATTATCAAAGGCCTTCTGGGCGTCGAGAGATATTAAAGCTATTTCCTTATCTATTTTCTTATCGTAGTATTCCAGTATATCTATGATCGTTCTCAAGTTATTTTTAATCTGCCTCCTAGGTATGAAGCCGTTTTGGTCTGTATGTATGTATTTATGAATTATTGTTTTAAGTCTCTGCGCTAATATTGACATGAATAGTTTGTAGTCTACATTGAGTAATGAGATGGGTCTGTAATTCCTAACTTGGGTCCGGTCTAAATCTTCTTTGTGTATTAACGTAATAATGGTTTCTGTCCATGATTTTGGGATTTCAGCTGTCAATAATGCTGCGTTGAAGACTTGTAGCAATATTTCGTCTATTTCTTGTTGGGAGTGTTTATAAAATTCAGTAGGAATTCCATCTGATTTGTTTTACTATCTCACAGCCCAGTAAGGCCTTCTCCATAAGGCTATTTGAAAGTGTCATTACAAGGTATTCAGTGCCATTCTGATATTCTGCTGTTCTTCGAAAGCTCAATATTGCAAATAGTAATTATATCAAAGCATGTTTATACTTTTTTTTTATTTTCCAGGAAGAAACACTTTTGGACTTTTATTCATGTAGACTGAGTTTAAACATGACTGAAGAAAATATATTCTATACCCCTGGAAAAGAATATTCCATATGGTCATCTTACATTTTGGAAGAATGTGCAGGCTTTATGGTATATCCCATAACAGTGTTAGCGATATTGATACTATTATATTATCCACTTATTTTTGCATTTTCCTGCTTCTATGCCACTAGTCTAGTACTTCATGTGTGGAAAAAAATTGGTAATTTGCCAGAAGATACCAGTAGCAAACAATGGGATATGCCAAGGAAAATATACGCACTGGTGACAGATTTGTTTGGAAAGATACTGCACAGTAAGTAGGATGTTCTTCATTAATTCTTTAAGGCAGAGTTAAGGAATATATTTTCCCTCATAGACATAATTCCTGGGGCCAATCCTTATCTGCAGTCATTTGTATCTTGGAACCTCATCAGAATGTAGTAGAAAATAAAGGGAAAACTGAGGCTGCATACTGCCAATTTATATCGAATTCACTTTTTAGAAAATGCTTCTGCAATTAGTCAAGAAACTCCCTTAATCTCTGAGGTTGCAGAACTGAATGAAGGAGCTGCCTTAACCTCAATTTAAGAGAATAATTGCAGTACTCCACACAATATCAAGTTTGCTTATGGTCACTCACACACACACACTCACAGCCCAGGTCAATAGCCAAGCTCAAATCATTTTTAACTGAACACTGAGTTATAACTGGTTCTTCGGAATTTGCAGAGACCTGAAGAATTTAAAGTAAGACAAAAACTTTATTGGTTTTGCAATGTAGATTTTCACTTTCTCACATGCACGCAGACATTTGCCACATCCTTCTCAGCTAGCCTGCCAGGTATTAGTCAGAGGGATGGAAGCTACCAATTATAGATAGAAAGTTAACTCAAAGAGTGCACAGGCCTTACTTATGACCCCTTTTATCCCCCAAAGTGTTCGGTTTGTTGCTTCTCAGGACTGGCAGCTATTCTTGCCATGTTCATTTTCAAGTCTAATAGCTGTTGGTGGGTGTAATGTATATAGTTTTGGGGGGAAGTTTAAAAGAACAATAGCACATTGGTGATTGGCTAACTCCCTGGCCGGAGTAGTATATAAAAGGAGCTGTTTTACTGTATGCTTTGCTGGATTCACACTGTGAATTAAAGAGCTGTTATTACTGAAGACCTTGCTTCTGCCTCCTCATTCACCCAACTTAACAGTGGGATTTGGAGAAGGGTTTTCCATGTGCTCAGGCCCAACTTCTTTTGACTGGTTCTGGTGACATTTTTGCACTTGTTTCCTTAAAGACTTAGCTCCTTCTTATCTACTTCCTGGGGATTTTCAAAAATAAACAGGTCAACCATTTGACTGAGATGTTATAAGTTTCATGCTTTGGCAAGGGGGTTGGAGTAGAGGACCTCCAAGATCTCTTCTAGCTCTATGATTCTATGGTTCCATAATCTAGAAGACCTGATTCCTGGCTTTTTGTGCACACTGCTTATGTGCCTGTTTCATCTTTAGTCTCATATGTGCATAATTTTAAAATAATAATAAGATAAACTTTGTGTACTATAAAACTAACCATAAATACCAGAAATATTTGGGTATATACATCTTCATATCATTATATTCCTAAAAATTCAGAATTAGAAAAATAAAAAACAATATATCTTAGGAAAATATTAGGAAAAGTAAAAAAGAAATCAGAGAGGAAATTGCTCAGTACACTGGAGGAACAAGATTTCGTATCTAGCAAAAACACTAGCCAACGTTTTCCCTGATGGGATAGGGAATAGGCCCTGATCTCCCTTGTGTAGGGGAAGGCATGTGCCTCTCATCACCGGTGTAGCAACCCCAAAAATCCCTGGCCTTCTCCCCAGTGCTCTGTTTAATGACTGCAACTTGGAGAGCAGTCATTGAGTGAAGCAGTCATATGGCTTCTCCTATTATAGTCAAAAGAAGACGACTACCTGTAATATCTTTTGTTCTAAGGTTTCAGTTACTTAGAAGCATATTGGCTTTACATTTTATGCTAAGACATAATTTGTCCTGGTTTTGGCCTGGCACAAAATAAACATCCAACCTAGCAATCTGTAGTTCTAGCCTTATTGACAATTAAAATAATTTGAATTTTCTTTCATATGCAAAGCCCAATAACTAGAAGTCTGGCATAAACAAATTAAGATCAGCAATATTTCTGCTAATCATTGCCTCTACCATGTGCAATTTTTTCTGTGCCTTAATATTAAACACCAAATGTGCTGTTTTAATTTAAATTTGTTTTTTCCAAATTGTACTTAGGCTGATAATCATTACCATTAACTAGACCTTTGGATAAAGCTGGAAGAAGCTATCTGAAGCCCATACATTCTATATGTTTGTAAGAATTTTGAAAAGTGTCAACAAAATGCCAAAACTGTCTTTTTAAAAATGAGGTTATAAAATGGACAAAATCTCTGAAGACAAAGATATTTGTGGGAAAGGATTGATGTCACTAAGTAACATGAATCTAAGTAATTTATAGGAAACTAGACTGAATGTGTGGGATCACAAAGCAGTAACACTGATTTCTCAGAAGATTCTAATTTTTTTCATTTTTCATTTTTTTATTTTGAGGATCAATGTGATAGTTCCAAAAAGCACATTTGATTTAAAATGTTTAGCTTGATAAGAAAAATATGCCATTTTTTTATATGATCTTCTATAGGAAATTCTTCTGGAAAAAAACTGAAGCCATGTCATTGTTCTCCCATTAACAGGTTATGAGATTTCTGGACTAGAAAATTTACCCGAAGGACCAGCGATTCTTGTATATTATCATGGAGCCTTTCCAATTGACTATCACTGTTTTGTAATAAGGTTGTATAGACTCACTGGGAGATTCTGCTATTCCGTGGTAGACCATGTTATCTCGCTTTTACCAGGTAAAAAATTACTATGTTTAGGGTTTTTTTAGGGGGAAGGTTAATAAAATTGATTCACTAACCTGTGAAGTCCAATTTTTCTTCTTCAAACTCTTGTTTTGAGTTTTTTATTTTTATTTATTTATTTGTCAAGCATGTATAAGATAACAGATATAACAGATATACCTGGAGGAAACATCTTATCTAGATCCGTTCCAGTCGGGTTTCCGTGCTCGGAAACGGCATTGGTCACATTGATCAATGATCTCTGGAGGGGTCGGGACAGGGGTCACTCCTCTGTTCTGGCCCTGTTAGACCTCTCAGCAGCTTTTGATACCATCGACCATGGTATTATGCTGCACCGGTTGGAGGAGTTGGGGATGGGGGACACCGTGCTACGGTGGTTCTCCTCCTTTCTCTCAGACCGGTCGCAGTTCGTGTTGGCAGGGGGGCAGAGATCGACCTCAAGGCCTCTTATATGTGGAGTGCCTCAGGGGTCGGTCCTCTCGCCCCTTCTGTTCAACATTTATGTGAAGCCGCTGGGTGAGATCATCCGTGGCTTTGGGATGAAGTACCATCAGTACACTGATGACACCCAGCTGTACATCTCCACCCCAGGCCACCCCAACGATGCCCTTGAAGTGATGTCCCGATGCCTGGAGGCTGTGCGGATCTGGATGGGGAGGAACAGGCTCAAGCTCAACTCTTCCAAGACTGAGTGGCTGTGATTCCCGGCATCCCAATATAGTCAGCAGGTGGTCTTGAGAATATTATCTGGGAGGAGTTTGATCCTGTGGCTCCCGAGGATGTGAACACGGTTCTGGGTAAGATTAGTGCCGCCACGTGTTTATTGGACCCGTGTCCCTCCTGGTTGGTACTGGCCTCCCGGGAGGTTACACAAGGCTGGCTCCAGGAGATTATAACTGCTTCTCTGAGTGAGGGCGCCTTTCCCACCGCCTTGAAAGAGGCGGTGGTGAGACCCTCCTCAAGAAGCCTTCCCTGGACCCGGCTGAATTAGCTAACTACTGTCCGGTCTCCAACCTTCGTTTTGTGGCGAAGGTTGTCGAGAGTGTGGTGGCACGACAACTGCCCAGGCACCTGGATGAAGCTATCTATCTAGACCCGTGCCAGTCGGGCTTCAGGCAGGGGCACAGCACAGAAACGGCATTGGTCGCGTTGGTGGATGATCTCTGGAGGGCTCGGGACAGGGGTTGCTCCTCTGTCCTAGTCCTATTAGATCTTTCAGCGGCTTTTGATACCATCGACCATGGTATCATGCTGTAGCGGTTGAGAGGGTTAGGAATAGGGGGCACCGTTCTGCGATGGTTCTCCTCCTTCCTCTCCGACCGCTCGCAGTTTGTGTTGGCAGGGGGGCAGAGGTCGACCTCAAGGCGTCTCGCATGGGGAGTGCCACAAGGGTCAGTCCTCTCGCCCCTTCTGTTCAACATTTATGTGAAGCCGCTGGGTGAGATCATCCGTGATTTTGGGGTGAAGTGTCATCTGTACGCTGATGACACTCAGCTCTACATCTCCACCCCAGACCACCCCAACGATGCCCTTGATGTGATGTCTCGCTGCCTGGAGGCCGTGCGGGTCTGGATGGGGAGGAACAGGCTCAGACTCAACCCATCCAAGACCGAGTGGCTGTGGCTGCCGGTGTCCCGATATAGTCAGCAGGTGCCATCGCTGACTATTGGGGGTGAATCTTTGCCCCCCACAGAGAGGGCTCGCAATCTGGGTGTCCTCCTGGATGCACAGCTGTCTTTAGAAGAGCACATGACAGCCGTGGCCAGGGGGGCCTTTTATCAGGTTCGCCTGATCCGCCAGTTGCAGCCCTTTCTGGACCGGGACGCCTTGCGCACAGTCACTCATGCCCTTGTCACCTCCCGGCTGGACTATTGTAATGCTCTCTACATGGGGCTCCCCTTGAAGAGCACTCGGAGGCTCCAACTGGTCCAGAATGCGGCCACGCGGGTGGTTATGGGCGCAACCCGTTGTGCCCACGTGACACCCCTCCTGCGCGAGCTGCACTGGCTCCCAGTGGTCTTCCGGGTGCGATTCAAGGTGTTGGTTACCACCTTTAAAGCGCTCCATGGCATAGAACCCGGGTACCTTTGAGACCGTCTTCTGCCACCAATAGCCTCCCACCGACCAGTCTGCTCCCACAGAGAGGGTCTCCTCAGGGTGCCATCAGCCAAGTTATGTCGGCTGGTGATGCCCAGGGGGAGGGCCTTCTCTGTGGGAGCCCCAGCCCTGTGGAATGAACTGCCCCCGGAAATACGTAAGATCTCCGACCTCCGGGTGTTTCGTTGCGCATTGAAGACCCTGTTGTTCCGCCAGGCCGGGCTATCAACATAATAATTTTAATTGGGGTATTTTAAATTTTTGGGGTTTTAATCCGGCCAAATTTATTTAATTATTTTAATTTTTAATCATTGTTGTGTCTTGTGTTTTTAAACTGGCTGTACACCGCCCTGAGTCCTTTGGGAGAAGGGCGGTATAGAAATAAATTTATTTATTTATTTATTTATCCCGATATAGTCAGTTGACTCCATCACTGACTATTGGGGGCGAGTCTTTGGCCCCTTCGGAGAGGGCTTGCAATCTGGGAGTCGTCCTGGATACGCAGCTGTCCTTGGAGGAACATCTGACGGCTGTTGCCAGGGGGACTTTTTGTCAGGTTCGCCTGATCCGCCAGCTGCGGTCCTTTCTTGATTGGGATGCCCTGTGCTCAGTCACTCATGCCCTTGTCACCTCTCGCCTGGACTACTGCAACGCTCTCTACATGGGGCTCCCCTTGAAGGGCACCCGGAGGCTCCAACTGGTCCAGAATGCGGCAGCGCAGGTAGTCACGGGTGCTACCTGGCACTCCAATTTAACATGCAGTGCAGCTCCTGGGTGAGCTGCACTGGCTCCCAGTGGTCTTCCGGGTGCACTTCAAGGTGTTGGTTATCACCTTTAAAGCGCTCCATGCCATAGGACCTAGTTATCTTCGAGACCGCCTGCTGCCACTGACGGCCTCCCATCGACCTGTGCGCTCCCATAGAGAGGACTGCCTTGGGGTGCCATCAGCCAAACAATGCTGCCCCCAGAGATAAGGAGAATCCAAGACCTCGGTGCCTTCCGCCGTGCCCTTAAAACTTTCTTTTTCCAGCAAGCCGGGCTGGCCTAACACTTTTTAAATGTTTTAATTGGTTTGTTACTGTTTTTAATTATGGGGCCAAATTTATATATATCTTTTAATGATATTTTAATATTTGTACTCTATGTTTTTATGTGGCTGTACACCGCCCTGAGTCCTTAGGGAGAAGGGCGGTATACAAATTCAAAAATAAAATAAATAAATAAAATAAATAAGTATAAACATGATTATGAATACGGGAAATGGATAAGAATAAATGGGGATATTAGGACAGGTACCGTAGGCATGTTGGTGCACTTATGCACGCCCTTTACAGACCTTTTAGGAATGGGTCGAGGTCAACAGTAGACAGTCTAAGGTTAAAGTTATGGGGGTTTGGGGATGTAACAACAGAGTCAGGTAGTGCATTCCAGGCATTGATCACTCTGTTGCTGAAATTGTATTTTCTGCAATTGAGTTTGGAGCGCTTTACCTTAAGTTTGTATCTATTGTGTGCTTGTGTATTATTGTGGTTGAAGATGAAGTAGACATTGACAAGTAGGACATTGCAGCAGATAATTTTGTGTACTACACTTAGGTCAGACCGAAGGCGACGTAGTTCTAAGTTGTCTAAGCCCAAAATTTCAAGCCTGGTGGCATAAGGTATTCTTTTGTGAGCAGAAGAGTGGAGGACTCTTCTCATGAAATATCTCTGGACTCGCTCAATTGTATTAATGTCTGATATGCAGTGCAGGTTCCAGACAGATGATGTTATGTCATGATGGAAATACATGCATTCTGTTTTCTTTTACAAGCAAGAACAGAATGATGTCTGATATGCAGTGCAGGTTCCAGACAGATGATGTTATGTCATGTCATCCACCCATCCCTTACTGGTTAAACAGCACTTATTCAAGCTACAGAATATGATTAACAGCATGCATAAATGAAAATACCCATCAAATATATATCACACTAAAGCTTCACCATAGAGGGCTCAACCTCTTCTTACCCAATAAGTTTATATTTTCAAGTAAAAGGTGAATTCATCCAATTATGGTTTATTCAACAAACCACAGTTAGGAGCAAATTAAATAAGAGGCATCAATATGCCTTCTGCTTTTTAATAATACTACTGTGTGCAGCAGACAGTCTAGCCTAGGTCAGAATAAGACAATGTAGAAGAAGGCTTGAACAACATCTCCAGCCATACTGCAGAATTCCAACTCTTCTACAGGGCCATTTCTAAGAAGGAGAAAGGGATGAAAGTTTGTGATTTATCTGATTATGAATGGTATAGCATATAGCATGAGTAGGAAGAGACAAAAAAAATCTTTGCCATTAGATAAAATCAAAGATAACATTGGTTTTCAAATGTATGTTAATGACTGTAATGAACAGCAAGTTAGAATTATATATACATACATACATACATACATATATACATACATACATATATATATATGTGTGTGTGTGTGTGTGTGTGTGTGTGTGTGTGTGTGTGGCGTGTTCAGTTAAAGAGTCCATATACTGTATATTTATTTCCAGAATGTTCTTGTAATAGTTCCTGAACCATAAATCTAAATTAAATCTTTTTTTTTCTTTTTTTTCTCCCATTCCATCCCACCTCATGCCACTCCACTGCTCCAACAGACTCAAAGGGCAATAGAAGATTTACGGGACAAACACCAGAAAATCCCAGGAAGCATACTGTATGCTTTTAAGCAACGCTTTGAAGCACATAACAAAGATAAATAGTGATATAACATCAACAATCTCTGTGGATAATATATGTATATATGTAACTAATATATGTGTATATGTAGTGCATGCGTTCCATCAGGCACTTTCTGAAAACAAAATGTTGGGGAAAGATTGAGATGGGATGAAAACATTTATTTCTTCAATGTGTTTAAATCTTCAACACCAGATTAAATTGCATTCTAAAATACCAAAAGCATTACATGATTTTTTCCCCCAAACCCTTATGAATTATGTTTGCGAAATCCTGGTGAACTGGCAGATGACTGGATAAGACCAACTGTTATTCTAATCTTCAAAAAGGAGAAAAAGGAAACAGCAAGATATAGACCAGTTACTCTGATGTCGATACTCTGAAAAAATTAAGAGTGTATAGTGCTATCATAAAAAGATTTATCCTTAAACACTTTGAAAACAATTACTAGAAACCTGTCTTGCCTTATCTAATATTTTTTAGATAGCTTCTTTAGTAGACTGTAGGAATTTTGTGAAGTTAGTATGTCTTGCTTTTCAGTAATGGGATTCAAATCCTGTCGCTACCGGTTCGCTAGTGGATGTGCGCGCACTCGTGCGTGATGTTTCTGCGCATGCAGAGAAGCTTCTGCGCATGTGCAGAGATGTTCGGGCGAGTGGGCAGAGCCTCTCACCACCACTGCTACCAGTTTCCCCAATCCGGGGCAAATCGGTAGCAATCCACCGCTGTTGCTTTCTTTACAAAGCAGTTGACAAGAGTATTTTATTCTGTGCAGCAGGATATTAGTGTATAGGTTGCGTGATGATAAATTGAGTGCACTGCTGACTTGAAAATTATCCTCAAAGAGTGATCATCGTTCATCAAATACTGAGCATCACACAATATTCAGTTGTGAATCCTGTAGTATTCAACAATTTAATTAAGAACTTATAGGACGAATGTTTTAACAAATTTACAGATTTCTCAAGACTGGGTAAGATAATTCATACCTAGAAAACATAAACCGAATTCATAAAAATTTAACAGGGTACAGAAATAGCAGAAAATGAAAATTTAGCACATATTAATACAACTGTATGCAGTCAAATTCAGAAGCATAAGAATAGGATTATAAAATACCTAGACCAGTAATAGCACTTTAAAGGGAGGGATTGACTTGTAGTTAAACAGACCCTGAGACAAGAGAAAGCAAATACAATTTTAAGATGCTTTAACAGAAATATAGTTTATAAATTGCAGGAAGTAATTTCCTCTTTGACCCTTCAATTGTCAAGTAAACCTTGTTGAGCACATATCACAGAAATTATATAAATAATGACTTTTTTGTCAAATATAGTGCTCAAGGTGGATTAGCTAGTGCTAAATGACAACTTGTGACTTCTGGCCTTGCCTTCTTACTGCCCCTCCTGGAAAAGTCTATTGTTACCAGTGGTGGGTTGCCCCCGGTTCACACCGGTTCTATTAGAACCGGTAGTAAAATCAGTGGGGGGCTTTGCCCACCGACCCCGACATCATCAGAACGCTTCTGTGCATGCGCAGAAGACCGCGTGTGCAGCCCCGTTGCAAACCGGTAATAAAGGTAAGTAGAACCCACCCCTGATTGTTACCTCAGGAGGAATACCACAATGGGGCCTGAAATTGGGTTGGTGTTCTTGGAAGATGGAATTGCTTGAGATTACTAAAGCAGTACTGACTCTGAGTTACCTGAGACCCCTCATGCAATATCCTAAATATTTACGTACCAAAGTTATTCACCTTGTCTTTCTTCATTTCTGGAAAGATACGATCTTGATAATTTCAGTATATAAGAATGTCTAAAATGGCCAAATAATGTTCACAAAGATTTGTCAACAATGAACTAGAATGCTTCTGAAAAGGCTGGACAAAACTTATTTGTCTATTTATGCAATGTGCCATAAATGGAAATAAAATAGGATTTGATGGAGGAAGAGTAATTTCAACAACATCCCTGGATATTGCATAGACCTGGAGATTAATGACTAGATACTTGCAACATGCCCTGTCCCACCTGTTTCCTACTAAGAGCCGAGGTGCACAGTGGTTAGAGTGCAGTACTGCAGCTACTTCAGCTGACTGCTAACTCAGCAGATCAGCGGATCAAATCTCACCGGCTCAAGGTTGCCTCAGCCTTCCATCCTTCCGAAGTGGGTAAAATGAGGACCCAGATTGTTGGGGGCAATATGCTATTTAGTATACTGTCTTTGGTGTAAGCGGCTCAGAGTCCTCGGAGAGTAGGCGGCATAGAAATACAATAAATAAATAAATAATAAACAAACAAATAAATAAATAAATAAATAAATAAATAAATAAATAATGCACTGAAAACCAGTGACTTTTGACCATTTTTCATACTTATGACTGTTGCTGCATCCCCATGGTCACGTGATTTACGTCAAGTGTAAATTGACTCAAATTTATGGCAGTTGCAGTGTCCTGGGGTCATGTGGAATATAAAAATGTATGTTGCTGTAGGTGTCACAGTTTACAAAGCTATGTGTGGCAAGATATGTGTGGATAAACTTATCTGTACCTTTGAATGTGAAAACTTTATCTATGGATGTGTCAGATTGGTTTAAGGAAGAGTTACTGCCCCAGGCGCCTGATGGACCCTGATAGGTTCCAGATGGAGCTTGGGCCATTTCCTGAGACTCTGGCTCATGACTCGGCTGAGGATCTGGTGGCCGCCTGGGATAATGCGGCTGCCGGGGCCTTGAACCGTGTCGTGCCTTTGCGGCCTCTGACCCGGCACCGAACTCACCTAGCTCCTTGGTTCTCCGAGGAGCTCAGGGAGATGAAGCACCAGAAAAGACGCCTGGAGAGTAGTTGGAGGACCAGCCGCTCCGAATCCGACCGAACACTGGTGAGGTCTCATATTAAGACCTACCTAGTGGCGATAAAAGCGGCGAAATCTAGCTATTTTGCCGCTCTTATCGCGTCATCAGATAATCGCCCGGCTGCCCTGTTTAGGGTGACCCGCTCCCTCCTCCATCTGGAAGCGTGGGATGACCCCTTGCAGGGCTGAGCTGAGGAGTTTGTGCAGTATCTGTATGACAAAATCGCTCAGATTTGGGAAGGGCTGGCCTCTGACTGGGTATGTCCAGACGGGATGACTGAGGCAGGTCTTGAGAGTGTTATCTGGGGGCGGTTCGATCCTGTGGCTCCTGAGGACATGGACAGGGTCTTGGGACGGCTGAACGCGACCACATGTTTATTGGACCCGTGTCCCTCCTGGTTGGTACTGGCTTCCCGGGAGGAGACACGAGGCTGGCTCCAGAAGATTGTTAACGCTTCTTTGAGTGAGGGGGTCCTGCCGGCTGCTTTGAAAGAAGCGGTTGTGAGGCCCCTCCTCAAGAAGACCTCTCTGGATCCGGCTGTTTTGGCTAACTATCGTCCAGTCTCCAACCTTCCCTTCTTGGCGAAGGTTGTTGAGAGTGTGGTGGCGCAATAGCTTCCCCGGTACCTGGATGAAGCTGTCTATCTAGACCTGCTCCAGTCCGGCTTCCGGCCTGGGCACAGCACGGAAACGGCATTGGTCGTGTTGGTGGATGATCTCTGGAGGGGTCGGGATAGGGGTTGCTCCTCTATCCTGGTCCTGTTAGACCTCTCAGCGGCTTTTGATACCATCGACCATGGTATCATGTTGCACCGGTTGGCGGGGTTGGGGGTAGGGGGCACCGTTCTGCGGTGCTTCTCCTCCTACCTCTCTGACCGGTCGCAATCTGTGTTGACAGGGGGCAGCGGTCGACCCCGAGGCACCTTGCTTGTGGGGTGCCACAAGGGTCGGTCCTCTCACCCCTTCTGTTCAACATTTATGTAAAGCCGCTGGGTGAGATCATCTGTGGCTTCGGGGTGGAGTTCCATCAGTACGCTGATGACACCCAGCTGTACATCTCCACCCCAGGCCACCCCAACGATGCCCTTGAAGTGATGTCCCAGTGCCTGGAGGCCGTGCGGGTCTGGATAGGGAGAAACAGGCTCCGACTCAACCCTCCAAGACCGAGTGGCTGTGGCTTCCAGCGTCCCGATATAGCCCGCTGATGCCATCGCTGGCTATTGGGGGCGAATCACTCGCCCCCACGGAGAGGGCTCGTAACTTGGGTGTCCTCCTGGACGCACGGCTGTCTTTAGAAGACCATTTGATGGCCGTGGCCAGGGGGGCTTTTTATCAGGTTCGCCTGATACGCCAGTTGCATCCCTTTCTAGATCAGGATTCTCTACGCACAGTCACTCAGGTCCTAGTCACTTCCCGCCTGGACTACTGCAACACTCTGTACATGGGGCTCCTCCTGGGGTGCACCCGGAGGCTCCAGCTGGTCCAGAATGCGGCTGCGCGGGGATTATGGGGGCGACGAGGCGCTCCCATGTGACACCTCTCCTGCGCGAGCTGCACTGGGTCCCGGTGGTCTTCCGGGTGCGCTTCAAGGTGTTGGTGACCACCTTTAAAGCGCTCCATGGCTTAGGGCCGGGATACTTACGAGACCGCCTTCTGCCACCAATAGCCTCCCACCGGCCAGTACGCTTGCACAGAGTGGGCCTCCTCAGGGTGCCGTCCGCCAGACAATGTTGGCTGACGACCCCCAGGGGGAGAGCCTTCTCTGTGATGGCGCCCACCCTCTGGAACAACCTTCCCCCAGAGTTACGTACAATAACAGACCTCCGGTTTTTTCGTCGGGCCCTGAAAACCTATTTATTTCAACTAGCTGGGCTGGCGTGAGTTTAATTTTAAATTGATTTTAAATTGGGTTGTTTTAATTTACGGCCAGAATATTTAATTATTTTAATATTATTTTTAAATTTTGTATGCTCTGTTTTTACTTTGGCTGTGCACTGCCCTGAGTCCTTTTTGGAGAAGGGCGGTATAGAAATTTAATTAATAAATAAATAAATACTGGAAAGTCTGAAGACATAAGAAATTAAGGTTTTCCCAGCCTGAGGCTAATTCTTCTCCGATTAGTTATTTTTTTTACATATTAACCTCTTCTGGTTCCCTTTCATGCAGCTTCTAAAATCTGTAAGCAATAGTTACAGTTAGGGCAGGGGTTGGCAACATTAAACACTCAAAGAGTCATTTGAACCGATTTCCCACAGAAAAGAAAACATCGGGACCCACAAACCCCTTTTGACATTTAAAATTAAAGATAATATGGCATATATCCAATTTCTCACCACATATTAAGCATACTGGTAAACCAGTCTTATCA